ATGTTCCTAAATACCTATAGAAAAGCCAACCATCATGAGAGTTTGGTAGATAGAAGATTGTGGGATCTATGTGTACATTACCTTTGAATATCAAATATTGGGCAGGTTGCTGTTCTGTGACAAAAAACATTTAAGGATACACCAATGCTGAAATGGCCTATAAATTATGCAGTTCTGTTCACTGAAAAAGAGCATCCAATATTTATATCTTTGTGCCAAATTCATTCATCTGTGGCTGTTGTGGCTCTTTTAAAAACACATGCTCACATATCCTGCAGGGTTCTCTACACTAAATGGAGGAACACTCAGTTGAAAAGGAATTGTGAGAAGTCTAACATGACTGAAAGTAGCATTTGAAACAAAACTATTATACTTATAATTATACTTGACAAACAGCCTTGTAGGGCTGATGGGTAAATGGATGGTTAAAAATGCATGTGAATAGACTGATCTTCATAGTTTCTATTAAAGGTCACATGTGTATTATTTAGTGGCATCTAGGGCCATAGTTGCAGATTGCAACTACCTCGCTTCAGTCTCCCCTTCCAAGTGTAAAGGAGAAACTATGGTGGCCTCAATACATGCAAAAAATTTGAAAAGTCCTATTTACAGACAACAGACATCTTGTCGAACCGGTCTCCATCTTCCTGGATTTCCAGCTCGTATTCAAGCCACTCCACAAAGTCCATTAAAGACAGGATTCCCGCCTTCCAGGAGTGAAGATGGCACCGGAAGGTGGCGCGGAGATCCTGGGGAAGCTTCCTCATTAATCTGGCCACATGATACCCACACTTTAACTCTTTGCGTCCATCTTCACCAAGCTGCTCCAACATCCCGACTAGAGCTCGGACTCTCAGAGCAAACCTCCTGAATGCTACTGTTTCGCCAGCTCGGATAGCGGGCTCTTCCATGAGCTCTGCAATCCGCTGTAGAGACAGCTAGTGGGGCTGACCATAGTGTTTGGTCAAGGAAGTCATAGTGTCGGAGTAGGGAAATAAGGAGTTGCTATAGGAATCAGCTATCAGGAGAGCCTCTTCAAACTTGAGGTGGTCACAGAGCACTTGGTACTTGAACATCTCTGTCGCATCAGCAGGAAGAATATTATCGAGTGCAAGCTTCAGTCTGGGGAACTCTCTGGGGTCACCACGTGTGAACTTAGGCATAGACGGCACCGGGCCCCTGTATGTCCTCTCGTTGCTGTTCAGCAGTGGCACTGCTGAGGTTAGCCGTTGTGGGGGTCGTGGGGGTGCAACTGACGGCGGCACACTATTATATTGTGGTTCTGACAGCATGGTGACAGTCGTGCTTCCAACTGCTGCAGACGTTCTCTAAGGTTCTCCACAACATCAGCAGGTTGCCCTAAGGGTGCAGGCTGGTCTCTTGGTGGCTCATAATCATCATCGGAGAAGGCTACTGGTGGGGGAGGCAGCGGCCAATCACTGTCGGCTATATTTCTGTCCGGTACTGCGGGCGGACGGTGCAGCTCCCTTGTTGGAGGCGGTGGTGCTGGTCTCCTAACTGTGGATGACGTGTTTCAGGTGGTGAATGCAGCATGGGCCGTTGTGATGGTGGGGACCTGGTGCCCTCTCGTCTGGCAGGGGAGTGACTCTCTTGTGGATGGTACAGCCGTGCAGGCTGTGAACTGGGAGGTGCTGCACCACTCCTGTCCATCTGCCGTCTCATATCCATCACCATCAGCTGCAACCTTCTATTCTCCATCTCGGTATCATCTCGGCATTTCCCTCTCTACTTCTGCTCCAGTCAGTCTCCTCTAACGCAGTGGAGGTGCATGGTGGGTAGCTCATAGCCTGTGGGATGGTGTACCATTCATAATCATCCATCCATCTTGGTTGGCACGTTCGCCGGCGTGGACGTACATCTTCACTTGGGGGAACCTGAGCCATTTTCACTTCGTAATTACCTTATCCGGCTCGAAGGGCCATATGTGGCGGAGGCTCAAAGATAGTAGACTGGCTTCTTTGATTCGTAATCGCGAAGTGTGCATCTGCTAGAACGGACCTACAGTTCCCCCAAGACTTAGATAAAAATGATGAAGGAGACAGTCAATCCCTTTATGGCGCTTTAATCCAGTGTGGTTCTGGAATAACCCAAAACAATAACAGCCATCAATAAACAGCTCACAATATGCTTGACTATAGCACACAAATGAAAAAATAATATAATTATCCTTAGCATGAAAATATATGAACATCATATAGAGAAGGAATATACATGATATGATATATCCCATATTTAACTGACAACAAAGGAAATGGTCGGTGGCATAAATATAACATAAATGACCATTTAAACCATCAGAGGTAATAGTTAACACTAGTGGAAATATGCATTGTAGCACCAGATATAATCTCAACCAGCAGACATATAAACAGATAAAATTAGGGATGCACCGATCCACATTTTTTCACTTCCGATCCGATCCCGATACCTGAATTTGGATATCGGCCGATACCGATACTATTCCGATACCAGAGCTCTGTTTTCTTTAATATTATTATTATCATTATTGTTGATTTTATATGAGATAATATGAATAAACTCCTCAACAGGCAAGTATGATATGTACGTATGTCTGCATGTATGTCCCAAAAGGCAACTTGAGGCAAGTATAAGGTCAGAAAAGGAAGTCAGAAAAACAGGAAATCCTTTTAACAGGAAAAATCCCATTCTGAAAACAAATATGCAACTGTAAGGGTTTCAAATTGATTGTCATGTCAATATTTATTAAATTCCCAAAATGTCAAATATTTGAGTCTTGAAATATAATAAAAGTGCAATAAGTGTAAACATCTTACACACACACACTATCAATAAAACAGTGTGCATCTGAACAACACAAATCAAGTACATTGGCTCTTGTAGTATCAATACATCAAGGTTTTAAATGTCAATTATCTGAAATACACACACACACACACACACACACTCAGTAATCCCTTTAGCTTTCACGTTGTCTGTCTGGAGTTTACCTTGGTTTTGGAATGACTCCAAAAGTGATTCCTGACAGCTCGCCTAAAAAATCCTCGTGCTGTTTCGTGTGGTGCTTTTTTGAAATGTTTGATTGTGTTCGTAGTGTTGTACGAAGCGAGGGAGCTTCTGCGTCTCTGCATTAAGGCTTTGCAAACATTGCATTTTGCTGTCTTGCTCTGCGGTGTTTCCAGTGTAAAGTATTTCCACACAGCGGACATGTTGGCTAGCCACAATGCAATGCTATCCTGCTAGCTGGCTGCAAACTGCGAAATGGATTTCCTGAGCGGGGGCGTGTCTCATAACTCTGTGTCTCATTGAGCCGCGCCTCCGTTCAGGAAATCCATTCCACAGTTTGCAGCCAGCTAGCAGACTAGCCGGCAGGAATCACCTGTGGGGTCATCTCAGCAGACAACGTTAAAGCGCAGACATGGCTCATGGATATCGGAAATCTGCGCAGGTTGGATGGGGAAATTCCGATACCGATACGGGATCGGATCGGCCCCATCCCTAGATAAAATATACAACAATGAAATTACATCCAGCAAATAAACAACATAACTTACGTTTCTCTGGACGCACACTGAACCATAAACGGCAGATCAACCGATACAAAGTAGTAAACACAACTTCTTCTGCCTGCCATACACACGTCTCACCCTCGTCAGTCTCTAATTCTCTCCCTAACAATTGCTATCGCCCAATTGAGCGCGACAGTGCCCCTAGTGGCTGGATCTGGCCAAGTCGCCTGCTCTGTAGTGCAGCCTTCAGAACGCCAGCCAAAATGAGTTGACGTATTCTAGCTATTTATGGACAAAAGGAAAAAAGCATCTTTTGCGTTCTTTCTTTTCTTTTGATGTTTTTTACCATTCTGCCCTCATGCATGTCGATATTCTCTACAGCATTCTTCAGAAATGGACCACAGATTCTCTCAAAACGAGACAGGGCCTGGAGAATTTTTCGGGCTCCATATCTGAACTGCTGACCACAGATGACAATCAGCCACATCCAGATGCGGACACAGCTGCAGCCGCTGCAACTCTGCGCAGGATGCGGCGCTCTGATAATGTGTCAGTAGCCGCACAGTGCTGTGACAAGTGTGAAAGCCAGGCACTTGGTGTCTCCTGAACTTATTGACCCTGAACTCTTTCTGCTGTTTAAGAGCACTTTCCAGCAGAAGCAGCTGGACATTGCATGTGAACATTATCCAATGATCTGCAGAGAGAAACTGAAAGGTGAGCTGATGGTGATGTACGGCAGTGTGGAGTTTGCGGGCCTGACGTCCGCAGTGTCACTGTTGAGGATGCTGACTGAGAACAATCTTCAGAGAACTTTTTCTGAAACTGAAAGTATCGCAAATCGCCATCACAACCCCCATGACATCTGCAGAGTCACAGAGGTGTTTCAGTACACTGAAGGATCAAATCCTTTCTTAGAAGCACAATGGGACAGGACAGGCTAAACGCACTGGCTATGCTGTCCATTGAGTGGGACATCATCCAAAAATCTGCAGACTTTAATGACATGGTGATTAACCTGTTTGCATCACAGGAAGGCTGTCGTTGTGAGCTTTTGGTATATGGTGTTGCAAATTGTTGCTGGTACTTTACTCTAATGTTATTGTAGCGCAATTTGCATGTGCTGATGTGTACAGAGGAGAGAGAAAGAGTGAGAGAGATTTTTCTTTTGGGTATGTGACAAAAGAATGGCCTGATGCCCCCCAAAAATAATAATTATTATTAATAACAATAATAAGTTATTATCATTAATTTTTAAACAAGAAAATAATATGTGTACTGTAACTACTGATATTATTAATATTCAGAACCACCACAAGCTGTGTGTGCGGATATGAGATAAAAAACACTTGTTGAGTGTGTCACTATTTGCAGCGCAGCACATCACCACCGTCTCACCCACCGGAGGGCAGCGTTCGATGGCTGGATATGCTACTCTGACTGGGCGTGCTTCCCCGGCCTCTCCAACACACCAACCGTTGTGCGTGTGACGCAAAGAAGTCTACTTAAAGCGGGATTAGCATTGAGCGCCACACTGAGCTCCACACTGCGCTCAGTCACACTCAACCCGCCTTCCGTGCTCACACTCTACCAATCAGCGCGTGGAGAGCGGGGAGGAGAGGAGCGCTCAGGCTGCCCACACAGCTGCTGCACAGCGGGACACACACACACACACATCCATGCATTCACTGGATATGGAGCTCTCAGACTCTTAGAAGGGGAATAATAAGATCCTCCGCTTTCTTTCCGCACAGCGTGTGATCCGAATGAACAATCATGGGGGAGTGGACCATATTAGAGCGTCTCTTGGAGGCGGCTGTCCAGCAGCACTCCACTATGATCGGAAGGTAAGAGTTGTGGAAAAGAAAAAGAAAAGAAACGTGTCGTCCTCTCTTATTGACCAAGAGTTTTAGAGTCGAGGTCAGAATTCAGCACAGTGTCAACAGAGTGTGCAGCTGGGAGGAAGCACACAACGTCCAGAAGAAGAATCCCGAAAAGCCGGTTGGTTATTCAAACTAAACATTCATGAGTTTAATGTTGAGGGAAATAAATTAACGTTAGTATTTACATTATGATGAATTAGACCACCACGGGAGACTGGGGCTGGAAGAGAGCGCTTATTTCAGCACTGGACAGCTCCAGTAACAGTACCATGGTAACATAACCTCGTACCTACCTGATGGTCTGCCTGTGGAAACACTGCGAGCGCCTTCCAAAGGGTTTATAGTGCCTTTATTAATGGATGAAGCATCATTAATGACTCTGAGATCAGTCATTAATGATACAGTGTTAATAATCCCTTTACCTCCTTAAACTCTCTATGAATGAACTGAAAACCAAATGGATTCTTCAAAACCTGGATCTGAAGGGGTGAGATGGGCTGCCAACCTGTCCACGCCAGCTGCCCTCACAGTGGTGTCAAATGTTGTCAGATTTAAGACATTAATTTCGATTCATTTTTAAATGAAAGTTAACATTTAAAGAAGATTTAAAAATAAAATAGTGTATTCATTTCTAATGCCGTCTTTAGATATTTATATCCAGTGCTTTATGTGTCACAATAATGTAATGTTTTTTAGTTAAAAAATCTTAATATATATTTATATACATATATGTGATTGTTTGTGATTAAATCAGCATATATTTCTGCAACACTCGGACCACCCCATGAATATTTCATATTTATTTTTTTCAGGGCCAATACAGATTATTAGCAATCAATGCAACCATAACAGATACATTTGCAGTAAAATTTAAAATCTCAGTGTCAAAATGTGTAGTAAACAGTGGTGGAATGTAACTAAGTATGTTTAGTCAGGTACTATGTAAGTACAATTGTGAGGTATTTTTATTTCAATTTATTGTTACTGTTACTGTTCACAAACTTTTGGAGGCAGATATTGTACTTTTTACTCCACTAAATTTATTTGATAACTTTAGTTACTTTGCAGAAACACATTCTTATGAATTTATGAATATTGTTATTATGAAATCTGATTATGAGCCAATTATTTTTACCTCTTCCACTGGAACTGTCTTTCAGAGGCTGTAGTGGGCTCTCTTTTAAAGCTATCTGATATCATATGAAACTAGATCACGCATCCATTTGTACCATCTATATCATGCTAGCATGAGCTGAATACTGCTCCAAAGTTATGCTAAATCTTGGTGATGGAAAAACTGGCATGGCCATTTTCCAAGGGATCCCTTGACCTTTGACCTCAAGATATCTGAATTAAAAAGGAGTTCTATGTGTACCCATGAGTCTCCCGTTTGTAAACATGCCCACTTTATGTTAACCTCATGCAGTTATTTGCATGAGGTATAAATGTGTTATTTCCACCTAGTGTATTGGATATTTCTGCATACTGGGGTCCAGGAACAGTACTAGAATTGGATGAATTGGGAATGACTGGAAAACTGAGACACACACTTCATGCAACCCCTGTATAAGTCAGTGCCCAACTTGTGCCACCCCAATCAAAAAGTCTGGAAACGCCTCTGTTTAAGTCTATTTTGATACTAATACTTTTGTACTTAGTACTGTTAGTACCTTAGTAGGTTTCAAATGCAGGACTTTTACTTTGAACAAATTATATTATTTGTGGTATTGCTTTTTTTATTTATGTTAAAGAGTACTTAAACCATATATTCAGTTAAATTCTGGTTAAAACACTTTAAAAACATAATTACTGTACTAATCCTCATGATGTGTAATCAACCACATAGTGCTGTGGGCGGAACATTGAGCAAGTATACAGACAGGCAGCTGCATCAGAGCCAAAGTAGCACATTTGAAATGAATTTATTTTATTGGCAAGCGGATAAAAAAAAAAATTGTACAGATAATTGGAAGGCCGATAACCGGTCTATCCCTTAATGGTTTATTACGCATTGCTCAGGATAGACCATAGATTCCTGCTGCAGTTTCTTTTCTTAAATTGTTTTTTGTATAAATGTAATGTAAATTTACTTTTACAGTCTCTGTTTAATACAGGTTTTAATTCTCTTTCTTATAGATTTTTTTTTTTTTAAACCAATGCTGCCTGGAGGGTAGGAAAAACATGTAGCATTTAAACTATTCTGGTATGCTTTGAATAATGGTAAGGAGAAAAGTAAATGTAAAATAAATAGCAGGCAAAAAAAAAAAAACAACAGCTGCAGTTTTTCATTCATTAAACCTGTTAACACAAAACAGCCCCAACATGGGTAAACGGACACAGCACCACACCTCCTTACACTAGTCAACCCAGACAAAGACTGGCCACACACAAAACCTTGGTTTGGCCTTTTGGCTAGAACCTATAACTAACTATAACACAGCCACTAAAAATGTTTATGTATTTCTGTTGCTGATTTTCCCTCAGGATCTTACTGACCGTGGTGGTGATTTTCCGGATTCTGATCGTGGCAATTGTTGGAGAGACTGTGTACAACGATGAGCAGTCCATGTTCGTGTGTAACACCTTACAGCCAGGCTGCAACCAGGCCTGCTACGATAAGGCTTTCCCCATCTCACACATCAGGTATTGGGTGTTCCAGATCATCATGGTGTGTTGCCCCAGCCTCTGCTTTATCACCTACTCTGTGCACCAGTCTGCCAAGCAGAAGGAGCAGCGCTACTCCACAGTGTACCTCTCCCTGGACAAAGACCCAGACTCAATGAAGAGAGATGACGGCAAAAAGATCAAGAACACCATTGTGAATGGAGTGCTGCAGAACACGGAAAACTCCAACAAGGAGGCAGAGCCAGACTGCTTGGAGTTCAAGGACATCCCCAACTCAGCCCTGCGAACTACAAAGTCAAAAATGAGAAGGCAAGAGGGCATCTCCAGGTTCTATATCATCCAGGTGGTGTTCAGAAATGCATTAGAGATAGGGTTTCTTGTGGGTCAATACTTCCTGTATGGATTCAACGTCCCTGCAGTGTATGAGTGTGATCGATACCCTTGCATAAAAGATGTAGAGTGCTACGTTTCCAGACCAACGGAGAAGACAGTTTTTTTGGTCTTCATGTCTGCGGTCAGTGGCATCTGCGTGGTGCTGAACTTGGCAGAGCTTAACCACCTTGGGTGGAGGAAGATCAAAACTGCTGTGAGAGGTGTGCAGGCCAGGAGAAAGTCCATTTATGAGATCCGGAACAAAGACGTGCCCAGGATGAGTATGCCCAACTTTGGGCGCACTCAGTCCAGTGACTCTGCATATGTGTAACTGCTGTTACACATCAACCTGGAATCAAGCCTGAGCATATAATACACCCACTAGTCCACTGGGCAGTGTCACACTTTGCCTCACCTAGGCAGGAAATGTTAATATGTTCTCAATCCGTGAAACGGTAATATTCCAGCAGCTTGGACACCAAAAAAGAAAAAAACGTGAAGCAACAGAAAATAACTGACTCATAACATTTTTTTATAAAGTAATCAGTACAGTTTAATTTAATTTTATGTTTAATATTTAATTAAAGATATTTACACATCAAACAATTAAATTACCTATAAATATAGGCGAACACTGCTGCTACAGAAGAGTGCAGATATTATTATTATTTTCTTATTTTAATCTCAATTTTAAAAATTACAGAAGTGTAAATAAAAAAATTCTTTAAATATGCATTAATTTTCTGATTATTTGCAGTTACATATTTTTCATGTTATTTTACATTAGACATGTAAATCCACAGGGTATTTTTTAAATTGTATTAATATTTCCATGTATCAAAAAAAAGATACAGTGTCTGTAACGTCCAGGTAGACTTTCAAATTAAAGCATGTTGACAAACATTTCAGGTTACAGTCGCAATTTTGGTTAGGTTTGGACAGGCGAAAAAAAAAAAACCACGGTATCTTCTAGTGGATCGACAGGTGTATACACACTTTGGCCTGATACTGGACTGCACACATGAGGAGGCTGCAGGACAGCTGTGTAGAAACTAGTTATCGAAATCAGCGTAACAAGTCATTTATTAGTATTTAGTCTTAAAATTAAACAAATAAACATTGTGGAACTAAGGTGACGAGAAGTCAACATGTTTTAAAGATCTTCTGTTTCTCTGAAACAAAGACTTCATCAAGACTGGACATTTTCCACAAGACAGACTATTTATCTGGATGACATCATGTTGAATTTGCCAGGGTTTTGATTTTATGTGTCTTTAATGGAGAGAGACAGATGGACCACACGTGTTTGTCTAATTACTGAGGAGAAGGCCCTGATGAGAAGTGCTTCTCTAAAGCCTAAACTGATACACTGCATGGTCAAATATATATGAACATTCTTTGACATTTCGGCTATAAATACTTTTACATTCTTGAGCAGCAAGTAAGACATATTGAAATTTTCGGAAAATTCCAGTTTCCCAGAGTTTGCCAGTCACAGCCACAACTTAGACCTGGGGTCTCCAACCTTTTTTTAGAGTGAGGGCTACTTAAGGAGAGAGAATGGACCAAAGGCGAATGCAGAGGGGCAGAATAGAGAAGAATTGTTTCAGCTCAGAACATGTAATAAAGGCTGGTCTCAATATATATTTTTATTATATTATTAATTATAAAAGCATATCTTGATTAATAAAAACATATCAGTAATGTACAAAAAAATCAGGATTAAGATTGAGTTTACAGAACATGCTCTAAGCACCTCATAGACCAGTCGCAGGCTATCAGGTGCCCGTGGGCGCCACATTGGAGACCCCTAACTTGGGGGCCGATCACACATTGACACATTGCTAGAAACACGTTGCCTGCACGTTTTCCTATGGAATTATCTTCAACTTGTACTTGTGCTGCGTGTTGTGGTTTTCTAGTGTTTTTTAGATGTGCATAAAAGTTTAAATATTTGAAACTTTGTAATGCAAGGCACAAAGTTGCACCGCTCATCAATGTCACACTTGACCCAGGCAGCTCAGCTTTACTACTTTACCACTTCCTTCCTGTTCTGATGCGGTTTTTGATGCCGGTAAATAGGTTAGCTAGCTGTTTGCCTGTGAGAGAACTACAGAGCAGGGGTGTAGTGGTGGGTTAACTCAGTTATCCACCTTTTTGAATTAAAGTTAGAGTTTAATTCAATTCAATTCAATTCAATTCAATTTTATTTGTATAGCGCCAATTCATAACAGAAGTTATCTCAGGACACTTTTCAAATAGAGCAGGTCTAGACCGAACTCTTTAACATTAATTACAGAGACCCAACAGTACCACCATGAGCAAGCACTTGGCGACAAGGGCAAGGAAAAACTGCCTGTTAAAAGGCAGAAACCTAGGACAGATCCTCCGGCTCTAGGTGGGTGGTCGTCTGTCTCGACCAGTTGGGGTGAGAGAGAGAGAGAGGCAGAGAGAGAGAGCGAGAGACAGACAGACAGACAGACAGACAGACAGACAGACAGGTGCACAGCAACAACAGTATTGGCAATGGCAGTCAAGCAGGACCATAGCAGGAGGCTCCACCAGGATCCATGAGAACCTGCGAGACGAGAAAGCACAAGAACTCTGGGGAAGAAGTGGAGTTAGTAACATGCATTAATGGAACATGAATGAGTGCAGAAAGAGAGAGGAAGAGAGTAGCTCAGTGCACCATGGGAAATCCCCCGATAGTCTAGGCCTATAGCAGCATAACTAAGGGATGGTTCAGGACTCACCTGATCCAGCCCTAACTATAAGCTTTATCAAAGAGGAATGTCTTAAGCCTACTCTTGAATGTGGTGAGGGTGTCTGCCTCCCGAAACACAACTGGAAGCTGGTTCCACAGGAGAGGAGCTTGGTAACTGAAGGCTCTGGCTCCTGTTCTACTTTTAGAGACTATAGGAACCACAAGTAGCCCAGCATTCAGAGAACGTAGTGTTCTAGTGGGGTAATAGGGTACTATGAGCTCTTTAAGATATGAAGGGGCCTGACCATGAAGAGCTTTATAGGTGAGGAGGAGGATTTTAAATTCAATTCTACAGTTTACTCATCTAGAGCTCGACGCCTGCTTCAGTAAATTTTTCTGGTAATCATATTTGATTGCCTGAATGTGCACACTGCCTCGCTCCACAGTTGCACCAACACTTTTTGCCAAGGCCTTCTTGAAGCAGCCGTGAATGTAGTGACTCATCTCTATGTGATCGGCACCGTATATTAATGCAAATGCTATTTAAAAGTTATAAATGGGTAATTGCAGTCATTTCACTGACTGCATAGAGTTCCTTGTGATGGGTAAACACATTTTCATGTGTAAAATTGCTGGGGTCTTCTTTAAGTTGGAACATTGCAAAACATGTTGTGTATCAGATTTTAGTAGTTTGATGTCCATGTGGACACTGAGTATATTGTTACACTAATAAGCCAAATGAACACAGGTATAGGCTCTGACATTCCAATGGTTCCAAACACCACTTTTATACACAATCGCTGGCAGTTGAAAGGGCACGGCTATTTTTTCGACATTACATTACACATCAACTGTATATCTTTAATCTCAAATATCTATTAATCTCATTGTTTTGGATGCCTATACTCACACCACTGACCTTAACCTAACTGATTACTCCTTTGCTTTAGCTTGAGGAAGGTGACACCTGGAAACCTGTCACCAGTTTTTTTGTTTGTTTGTTTGTTTTTGTTTTTTCTGGTACACCCAAGCGCCCATTTCTTTCATTTGTGATGTTTCTTGTTTTCATGTCATCAAGTGCCATACATGTACATAGAGTAACCTTTATCCAGAGATGTACAAAAACAAGAAATCCCCCTTTTGATTATCATAACCATCCTCTGTCCTGTGAAGAGCTGTGTGGAGATGATGTGCTGTTGTCATCGTTGATTTTGATTTGCAACAAAAACCAACCAATCATTGCATATTCCAGGGTTATCTATCTGATTTCAATCTGGACTGACAATTTAATCAAGTGAAGTATATATTTGAATTTCAGTTTGAAAACAGGCAACGTGTTACTGCCGCTGGTGCTGCCATTTCCAAGTGTAATCTAAAGTATGCCACTGTTAAACAAATATGAAAGCACCTGTAATAAAATATAAGTCATAAGAATAAGATAAGTGTGGTGTGTGTTGTTCAGGTTTCCAGTACAGCTGTCTACAAGGTCATCACCAGCTGCATGATACACGGAGAGATGGGAAATTGAGATTTTGACATTCTGAATTTAAGTGGATGGCTCTATGTTTCTCTTTGTAATGAAAACCCAACAATGTGTTAGTCCATCTTTTAGTACTTTTTGACTTCCCTTCCTCTGTATTTATCTCAGCCCAAACCCACTGGTTCCCACTGAAGATATAAACCCTAAAAAACACCTCACAATTTAAAAAAAAGTCAAAGTCACTGTAGTAGTAGTTTTCGGCAAACGTTACTCAAATAAGAGGAAATGGCCCATTTGCTGAACTATTTTAAGTGGTGGATTAATAGACATTTTGGGTAGCAGGATGTATGTTGGATTGACACTAAAAAAAATAATTAGTGTGTGTTAATGGGGATGAAGGAACATGTCACCCAGTGCAAGATGGTAGGGTTGGTTGCTTGACTGATCTGTTTTTGATTGTTTCTGGTCTATGGCCTAAGATATATCAGATTTACATACACAAAATTAAATTAAATATTCTTTGTTAGTCTTTCCACAGTCTTTCCAACACTCACCAGCACCAGCTGATTTGGTCAAAATAAACTATAATTGACTGAGTTAGATGTGAAAGTATACGTGAAAAGGGCTGCAATGTAAGCTAACGTTAATCCTTCGGGGCAAAGTACGTCCACTAAAAGTTGTTGTTTTTGCCACTGAAAGGCTCAGATGCAGAAGCAGCCCTTTTCACGTATATTTTCAATTATAGTTATTGTTATACTTATAGTCATTGTTCTTGGTGTGGACAGTCCTTAACAAAGACAGTTTTGGTGAGTTTCATTTTATTCATTTTTTTTTTATTTTAAAGTTACAATGTTACGATGATGCAAGGTAAAATAACCTTATTCTGACAACATTATGGATCCCTACAGAGATGTTTGTTTAACGAGAAACAGCTGTAATATCACTATCCCTCTCCACTAGACTCCAATGATTATAATGATAGCAATGTAGCCTTCCACACTGAATGAACAATATCCTCCCTCCACCAGCTTGATGCGCTCAATAGCTGTGTTGGTAGTTTAACAGGAAAATGGATGAAGTTGCTGCAGACCTGTTACTGCTGTACATTGTGCAGAGAAACAAAAATAAAACCTGAAGGCTATGCGTTCACCCAAAGAAGGGGTGTTAAGAGAATCTAACGACAGATTTTAGTCATACAAAAATCATTATGGATTTCAGAGACCCCTTCAGCAGTAAAGAACATTTGGCAGTATGTCCGATACAATGATGTGTTTTTATGTGTACTTTCATCCTTACATTACATAAGTGTTTAATAAGTTGTGTACCACAAATCAAATCAGCATGAATTTGATCCAAGCGATATCATTAGCCCCTGTCTTTGTCATTATAGTTGTAGTGAGTTTGAACTGTTTTTAGATATATTTATAGTAATGGTCACGTTTTCATTTTTGGTGTGGATGGCTCCTTCCGCTGTTTCAAAAATCATCAACTCTGGTTTGGTCCAAATAAATCCTTCATTCAGTGATGTAGATGATAAAAAAAACTGTTTTAGTCGCGCTACTCACTCTGCACACAGAGCAGAACTGCTATGTGAACAAACCAGAGTCTCATATATCTCACCTTAACTTTATGACCCTATTAAAGTCCATTCAGTTACATGTTGAATGATACAGCCATGAAGAGGTCCCAGTTTTGGCAAACATACTACTGCTGCATTTTAGATCTTACTCACACTAAAAATGTAACATTAACAGAGGCAGCATGGCGTATGATATTTGGTTTTGTATACAAAATACAAAATAATAGGTCTATCTGTTGACAGCATATCGTCAATGCAGTTCAAGGTCAACACGTGTGTTGAAGTGTAGTCACCTGCCAAGCTGCCAAGAAACCTGCACTGACTGTTGGAAAGATGAAGTGTCAATCATCCATTGACCACATCCCTAAGAGACTGACAGCTCGATAGACCACCTGACCACAAGAGGTCCTTGTGAGGAAATTGATACCACAGGACAGGTCTAACAATACTTCCTGCTAAAAATAGCTGCCGCCTCAACCCACACAACCAGTGTGTGTTCACATCCCCCCCCCCCCCTTCAACACAGCATCTTCTGTGTGTAGCAGCATAGAAATAGGGTTGCCTTGCTGCAGTTAATTGCGTCAGCTGACCACTAGGGCGGCAGTACATAAGTACAGCCCTCCTTCTCGCGCTCTCACTGATGCATCATTTCCAGCTCAGGTGTTTGCCCGTGCAGGTAATGCTCCGCGCCCTTGCTGCGGCTACTGCTTCGTTTCATTTATCACTGTGTCCTCATGCATAAAGCGGTGTGTTTTCACTGCAGAGCAGCGACTGCGTGCTCCGTGCTCCGTTTAGTCGCTGGTTCTCTCGAGCGGTAAGTGTCCTCTCTCTGTGTTACACCGAATGCTATCCTGTAGCTAATGCTAGTGTGGTCACAGGTAGATGTCCGCTGCCGTGTGGGTTTCTTTCTCCCTCCCTCTCCCTGTGCAGGTTTGACTTTGAAAACAGGTATGCTACCTTAAATCTAGCCCCCAAAAGCTTTGATAAATGTAGCTCAGCCATACTAATTTTATGTTTATTGACAGGGAACGCTCATCAGCTGGCCGAAATCTACAGGTGGCGATTTACGTGACTCCGCCACCAGCTGATTGGGGCCACTGCTGCTTTGTACACAGCTTTGTCTGCTGCTTTCTGCTGCTAATCAGTTTGTCTCTGCTGCTATATACGACATTGTCTCCAGCAGCCACTTATTCCTTGCTGCTTGGTGGTGCTGCTGTTGCTGGCTTTTGGCTACTGCCGGCTTGCATGGTGGACTGCCGACACCACACTTTTAACCTGTTTATCCCTTTAATTTTTGCTGAATGATTGTGAGTTAATCCCTTTAGTTTTGTATTACTTGTTTTGTTTTCTGTACTTTATTGTTTTGATTAAGTAAATTGTTTTGTTAAGTTTA